ATGAAATCCCCCCTCCTCCCACAAGGAAGGTGCAGAAGAATCATTTGATTGTGCAAAGGTTAAAATATCTACATTTTCCTGAATCTTCAGTTGGTCCCTTCCTTGGGGTTGAGTACTCAGACATACTGTGGCTGAGACCAGCACCACGCACCCCAGCCCTACTGGTGGAGAGCTAGGGATAGTGTGTGTGCTCCTGGAGCCGTGAGAGAGAGGGACTGAGAACACTGTGGCAGGGGTGGGGTTTCAGTCCATAGCCAATGGCTACCTGGCCAGTCTAAATGAACCAAAGGAAGAAGGGTAAGATAGCTACCAGCCCATCTGGGATAATCAGGCTTTCAGATATACTAGGGCAGGACACCAAACTGAGGGCTGAACACAGTGGAACAAAGCACTGGTAGGAAAAGCCGGGAGGTCTGGCAGGAGGTATGCAGATGGGCAGGGAGGCATTGATTGGTGAACACAGAAGGAATTTGCCAGATGCTGGGCCTGAGCTCTGGAATCCCTTTCATGAGCAGAGTCCCTGCAGCCCCAGCTGGGAGCAGGGCCATGCAGGGGCAGGCGCAGCCACAGGCAGCTGACTCCTCCCGAATCTCAGCTCCACCCTAGTGCAGTGACTGCCTCTCCTCTGGGTTTCAGGGTCTGGGGCAGGGAATTCCTGGGTTCTAGACCGAGCCCCACTGACTATGTGACTTCAGAAAAGTGCATACTCTCCCAGTTTTTCCATAAAATTGAGAACAATTTTTATTCACCAACAGTACCCAGAATGATGTCAGGGTAATATTAGATTATGCGAGTTAGAGAAGCACTCTAAGTCTATACTCTGTCCTTGGTCATAATAATGTGGCCCAAGTCAGATCAGATGAATTTACACAATTCTCTAGGATAGTAACAACAATAATATTAACTCATACATAGCACCTGCTACATTACTAGAACTTAATATTTGTGAGATACTTAGAATAACCCTCCAAACAACCTAAAGGGTGGCTACCATCATTGTCCCTGTTTTGCAAAGGAAACCAAAGCACAGAGATGTTAAACAACTTGCCCAAGGTCATGCACTAAAGTAGCAGAGGTGGGTCTGGCTTTAGAGCCTGTTGTTCTTAACTTCTATGTGATCGTTCCTCTTGCCAAAGGATAAAAGAAGCCAATGACCCAAGTTCCCAGAGTCTGGCAGCACAGAGCATTGTTATAGACACATTTAACTGTGAGTCAAACCAAAGTGGCAAAATCTAGATTTACATGGCAGATAAATTAGGCAGGGTGAATAACCATTCTACGTATGCCAAAAAACAAAAAATTAACCCTTTGCACTCAGATGTTGAGTGTGACTCAACATGGTTAGCAAAAATTATAAAGATTAAAATTACTCTTTGAATGTATCAATAATTTGAAATATAAAAAAATCCAAATAAATAAGTTTGTATGAAAAGAAACTCCAGTTTTTTATTCTACTGCCGCGCTTTGTAAAATCTGGGGTATTTAAAAAATTAAATCCCGAGTAGAATAAAGGAATCGAGAAAAAAGCGAGTACAAAGGGTTAAACTTCACAAAAGAATTTGGGATAAAATCCCATTTGATAACAAGCTTCCTAATATGTTTAAAGATTCAATATATGATAAAGTGCTAACATCTTTCTAGAAGGTCAATACTAACTTGTTTCTAGGGCTTCCTTTATCACAAATATGAAGTCGAATGTTAAGGAGACATGATGCCAATACCTGGGAGGTAGTTTTTTTACAGGAATGAACGATGCCTCTTTATACCCACACCTTGTGCAGTCCCCTCCCCTATGTCCTACAGTTGGTATGTGACTTGCTTTGGTCGTGGGACATCAACACACATGTTACAAGGAGGACTTGAAAAGTACTCATACAACTGGGCTTATAATCTTAGAACACTCCTCCCTTGTGAAATAGCTTATGCTAGCCCGTTAGAGACATGTCATTTAGCCAACACCCAACACCAACCTCTAGACATATGAATGAGGCCGTGGCAGACCACGCAGCCCTGGTCAAACCTCCAGAAACTGTGGCTACATGAGTGGCCCAGGGTAAGAGCAGCAGTGGAGCCACCTATCTGAGCCCTAGCCAAATAGCTGGACCATCCAATTGTAAATAAAATGTCTGTCATTTTAAGCCACTAGGTTTGAGAGTGGATTATTATGCAGCAAAAACGACCTAATAAAGCCCACATCCAAGGCATTTCATGGGGAAGAAATATGAAATCTAAAAATTGTTGGAGAGCTTGGGACATTTTCACAATTAGTTGGGCTGAAAAGGTGGAGTCGGAAGTGTTAGGTTGGGAGGAAGGTGTGTGATACTAGTGCCTGTTTTTACCTACCTTTCATTCTGTGACTTCTGGGTCAAGTAGATGGGGAAACTGATCTTTACATCATACCAACAGATCAGAAAAGAATAAAGGAGAGAAGTGATGTTGTATATCCAGAGAGCCAACTATTGGCTTTTGTTTCTGGTGATAATAAAGTGCACCCAACAGCACAGTGGTATGATGGGTCAGGTTTACATCTGCATTAGAGTCTGCATGGACTCTAATATGCCACACAGTGCCTTCTGTGCCCACCACTCCCAGTCCATTATCATTATTCCCCCAGCATCACTGCTACAGATTAGAGAAGTCGAGGCACGGACAGGGAAAGGACCCAACAAAGATAAAGACAATCTCTCAGCACTCGGGAGCCAAAAGGCCCACTGATCTCTGCTGACAGCAGTACTGAGAATAAAATTATCATCCAGTCCAATTAGTTTCTTTAAAAATGAGAAACAGAAGCTCACAGAGGATGACTTGTCCAAGGCCACACAGCTAAATATGACCCATGAACCCACATGCATGACTCTAATATTCTACAGTGACATGGGTCATAGGACCTGGATCACAACCATATCATCCGAATTCTAGCGCAATAATCCTTCTGTCCTTGACTGATTTCAGACTATTGTCCGACTGATCACCTAAGACAGCCACCAAAGCCGTAAGACACGCTGACTACAATAATTTTTCAAATGATGAGACTGGGTAACTTGGTTGACCAAAGGATAGAAAAGAGGAAAAGCCACCAAAATTCTATTGTGACAAAGCTGTCACTTTACTTGTAGGCCTTTGCCTTCTATTTCTTTGAAAGTGCCAAATAATAATGGCCACAAGGAGCATATTTATGATGGACTGAATGTTTGTGTTCCCCCAAATGCATATGTTGGAATCCTAATGGCCAACGTGATAGCATTCGAGGAACTTGGGCCATGGGTAGATCCCTCGTGATGATGGGATGACCATCCTCACTAGAGACATGAGGGAGCTTGCATGCGCACTCTCACACTCTCTCTGCCATGTGAGGATACAGCAGAAATCATCATCACCAAGAACCCAACCATGCTGGCATCCTGGTCTCAGACCTCAAGCCTCCAGACGGTGATAAATAAATGTCTGCTGTTTAAACCACCTCATCTATGATATCCTGTTATAGCAGCAAGAGCCAGACAATATTTTATAGAGTAAGGAAAACATTAACTTATGGCTTGAAGTATAAACAATGGCTAACGAATGCTTTTTACAAACCATTCTTTAACACGGACATATGTACGTGCTAAACTTAACATGTCTATCTGCCTTTATTTTATATTCCACAGGAAAACGTCCTCGTCCTTTATTTCTAACGTATTGCGTGAATGTGAACAAGCGATTCAACCACTCTAGGTCTCGAATGTTCCTTCAATAAAACAGGGCCACTGGACGTCGAGTCTGAAGCAACACAGTGGAATGGGAAGAACTCTGGACACAACCAGAGTTGAGATGGAATCATCTGGGACCTAGCATCTTGTTAGCTGTCTGGCTGTGATACCTCTCACCTCTTTCCACATCTAGATAACTAGAAAAGCCACAACCTTCTCATGGGACTTGGTAAGAATTGAAAATAATATACATAACATACCCAGCACAGTGCCTGATCCCTGGGGCAGCCCAATAAAGAACAGCTAATGGTCATAATTCATTTATCCATCCCACAAATATTTACAGAATGTGTACTCTGTGCCAGGCATTATTCTACGTGTGAAGGACAGAGGAGCTAACAAAACAGAGGACACTCGCTGCCCCCAAGCTAGCATTCTAGTGCATGGTAATCCACAATGCCAGCATGGAGCAGCTTCGGGCCTTAGGTCACAGGAAGGCTTCCCCTGAGTCCATTCTTACTGCAGAAGCCAGAGCAGTTAGTGCCTGTCAGTCTCATCGTAGAGGCAAGATAGGTCCTCACCTATGCAGGGGAAGCCATATACTATAATGCCCATCCCCACTATAGAATCCAGAGCAGTTGGTCTCTGTAAGTCTCACCGCAGAAGTGGGATAGGCCCTCATTTACGTAGGGGAGGCCACATACTATCATGCCTCTCCCAGGCCCCTGTCACCCCCAGCCCAGCACGGATCCACCAGCGAGGGCAGAGCCAGGCCCGGGTTTCACCGCTCTCTGCCACCTTAGCTGCTTCCCTCTCCTTTCCCTGCCAGAACTGTTCCCCAAGCCTGCACCTGAGCTTTCCAGAACTCTGGGAGAAGGCGAAGTCTGCTTAGCAGCACTACCCTCCACTTCCCACCAGAGGTCGCCCTCCCACGCAAGCCCAAGCGAACAGAACCAGCTTGGCCGCCTTGGCCGCAGTGACATTATTTTCTTTCTCTATTTTTATCTATTAAAAAGATTTCTTCACAGCCATAACTTAGATCTCTACACTAAAATGGAGCAACAGGAAGATATAATGGTGCATTTCATTTATGAATGACCTATAATAAATTACTCTGAAGTGTCCCGGGTGCCAGAAGACAGAACGCTTTGTCTGCCCACGGACTGTATTTCACATACTTTAATTTAGCTGACACATAAAACTCATTTGACATTTTGCAGGTATTTGTGTGTGTGTGTTGGGGGGGGGGTTGGTGTGGGAGGGGACAACTGTGGGGCTGGGCGGGGAGTGGGGGCAGCGGGCAAAGGATATTTGGTTCTTGTTGAGGGTTAAGGTATGGAGTCCGGGTAACCGTGGCAACACGAGGTCGTCCCCCAGCAGATTGTTGTCCAAGATGAGTTCCTCCAGGCTCCCGAACGCGCTCAGTCCTTCCAGTGACCTGAAATGACAAAGGCAACAGGAAAAATGATCCTGCACTAAATCAGGGAGGCCATTATGAGCCGAAATAAATATTTTAACCTTCCCTTTCAGGACTGGGAATAGTTTGGGCTTGGTGCCTGTCAGCAAAGTGAATGACAAGAATTAGTAGCAGGAGCCGGGGTGGGGGCGGCGGGGGAGGAGAGGCCGCTGGCACTCACCGAATCCTTCACGCATTGCCAACATGAAGGATGAGGGTCACTTAGTGAGTAGCCAGGATCCAAAACAAAGGGCTTCAGATACGGCCTGCAGGATAAATTTGTCAATGTCTTGTGCCTTCAGGCACCCAGCCTCGGCTGACCCTAACCTCCATTCCCAAGATAAATAACTCTGTCACAGTTCACCTTCATTCCCTGGACACAAATTTAAGTTGTCATCCATCATTCCTGCCCAGAAATATCATACCCTCTTACAATAATAAATATAACTTCAAGTATCATTTCTTAGCGGTTCTCCTCTGTACAGTCGTAAGGGAAATGGTAAGGAAGGCTCTTTCTCTCCGTTCACATCCTTTGACTTTGTTTTTTCCCCCTCTGCCTTTTTTTTCTTTACTAATCACTTAATTTGCTTCTGCCCAGCGTCCCTGTAGCTGCCCAAAAGGCAAGGCATCTATGGAATTACATAATCGCTCCCATCTGTGAGGGCTTTTTCTTTTATTATTTCTTTTTATTTGTTTTGGGTTTTGTGCGTGTGTGCGTGTGTGTGTGTGTGTGTGTGTGTGTGTGTGTGTGTTTTGGTTGGGAGTGCGGGGGGTATTTCTGCTTCAAAGCTCCTGGCCTGAAGTTACAGTTGTAATTTATGGAAAGTGGATTTCTCACTTAATTTTTGAGAGAAGTGTAGAGTGCAGCAATGTAGATGTTGAGGCAGTAAATAACAAGCATCCAAAGGAATTAAATACCTGGCTCAGGGAAAAAGAAAAAAAAAAAAAAAACATATCAGAAAGGAGAAAATAGCCTTGCTTCTACATGCAGCTGAAAGTTAACTCTTAATTTTATGGGCTCTCATGAGTGTTGGGGGGTGGATGTGATGTGGGCGGTTGTGCACAATTGCTTGCCCGGGTGCACGCAGACATTAATTAAAGAAAGCCGCCTGGTCGAGGGACTTGCACAGAGACACATACTCCCAGCCCGTTCACCTGCCAGACCCAGGAGATGTGCTGAGCTTGCACAGGCTGACAGCTGAGCTACGACGTGGACCTGAGGGAGCACTCGCACAGGATCCCTGGCTATTCCATAAAATGTGACGAATCAGGGAGATGTCCACGCTATTTATTCCTGTACGGATAGCACTCACACCGCAGCCCCGTGTGCTAGTGTGTGCAACGTCTGCACAGCTGCTGTGAGTGTGAACTTTAGCACCAGACCTTCCCCAAGGCATCCACAGCTCCCTCGTGGGATCTCTGCCAAGAGGACCCCAAAATAGAGAGTCAATACTTGGGAGGTGTAAAATGCATTGTAAGTAATTAAATCCATAGATTCCACTGGGCCAGAGCTCCGCCTGCATGCTCCATTCCTGCCAGACCTCAGGGTGGTGGCACCCAGGGCTCAATCCCTGGAACGTGCCAGCTCCTACAACCTAGGCTGCCTGCCCCATCCCAGGGGACAACACCGCCACTTTGGGTTAAAGGTCCGGGGTAATCGTGTTTCATTTCCTCCTCTTCTGTCTTTTTCCTCGTGGTTCCCGGAGGCAAAAGACAACTTACACACAGCTAGGCAGGAAGGTTTGGGACTTTACCTCCTCTCCTCTATCTCCTGTGAATTCCTGCATATCAACAGCGATCTGAACTCTCTTATCCTGTGTCTTCCAACTCTTACAAAGAATAAGTGAAAGAGGACAACCGAGTAACTAGCCAGGGTTGGTTTGTTCTTTTCCTTCCTCCTCTTATTCACTGATTTTTCCCAAAGCCCCAACCCTGGGGCGTGTGGGGATGCAGGGTGGGCAGATGAACACGCCCACGGAGGTGCTTACCCCAAGTGCTTATCCCAAAGTGCTTCTCAGGCCCAGCCCCCTGGTTGCCCCAAGAGGGGATGAGGCTACCGCCCGCGAGGGAGCCTTAAGGGTGGCTAATCCATCCTTTGTGCACAGACAGGAGGCAGAGGCAGCATCCAAACACACAAGCTCCCGAGTTCGGCTATGCAAATATTGTACTCTCAGCATGAGATGCAACCAACAAGCGCCCTTCTTGGAGTGCTCCAGGGGACGTGTAAAACAAGCCGACACAGCATGGAGAGGGACAGAGCCCAGGAACACTGGAGGGAGGGGTGCCCCCCACCACCTTTCTCTCCCCACAGGGTGGGCTCCGGGGCAGACAGAGCTCCACACCAGGGAGAGACCTCCCAGAAGAGGTGGGAAGATCGGTCTCAAATCCCCTCTGTCACCTGTCTGGTTTTGAGATTCTTTTTGCCATGTGATGTTATTAGCTGCTCAGTAAAAAGGGAACCATGTCACATGGTGGGGCGAGGGGGTTGCTAATTAGTAAATCCCTGTTTTCATGTCATCACTGGTGCGTGCACTCGGTGATTTAATCAGCTAAATTCAGGGCTGAGGGCTTGGGGACAGGAGGTAGGGAGCGGAGAGCGTAGCCGAGGGGGTACCGGGGAGGATGGGTTCGAGGGCTCGGGTGGCGTGTCGAAGCCCATGAGCACACATTCAGAAGGAAGGTGGCTTTACCTTTTCCTTTCTAAAGAATGTTACCGTTGTTGTTGTTTTCCAGAAAGGAAGAGGAGAAAGCAGTTATTTGCAAGAATACTTGAGTTCATGCCCCTATATGCCTGCACACAGATGTGTGCTGTAAAATAAAACAACAAGGCAAAAAAAAGGCTTTAAAGAGATGTGTAGAGCCATACTGTTGAATGTGACAGTGACAATGACTATGAGGAAAAGGTGATGGGACTGTGATATCTCTGCCATAACCTTGTGTGTGGACAGCAACATGCAGCCCAGAATGGGAGCCTGGTGGAGAGGGTGAACTCACCAGCTTGCTGGCAGTGGCTGCGATGTCTGAGCATGGGCCAGGGGCTCGGGGGCGGGGCAGATTTTCACCCACAGCCTAGGCACAGCGCAGGAGAGGGGCCGTCCCAGCCTGGTAAAGAGCCGCCAAGGCCGGCAGGGAGACGGGTGTGTGGCGATCAGGGGAGGCGGTTTGTTCTGGAAGCCTAATCAGCACCTCGGGAACTCCCCACCGGCTGCCCCCTCCTCCTCCACCAGCAGGAGCACGGCCAGGATCCCACCCACAGGTACCATCTTCTTACCTCCCCACCTCACTCCCAGGGCCCCGCCTGGGCTCCCCCAGGAGCCGTGGCAGCTGCCGGGAGAGCTCCAGTGCCTCTTCCAAAGTCACATCAAAATGACAAAACATCACAACGCATTGGGCTCCAGCGGATTCAAACAGAGAGAACTTTTAAGTTTCCACTGTAATTAACCCTATCCTCGTTAAGATAATTATGATCAAGCTTCCTGTCACAGTTAATATCCCAGCATCATTGCCTGTGGCTCCCACTCTGCCCTCATTAGCTTATAAAAACAGCGGCACCAAACAGGCGGTGGCTGCCCTGCCCAGCCCAGGCTCGTGGCTGGGGGCCATCGTGGCGGGGCCTCGGGCAGGGCAGGGCAGCAGGGCCACCCCTTGAACCTCAGTCTCTCCTGCTCCTGGGTAGGCACAGACTCAGCGACCTTCATTCATCCTTTCTCTGAAAATTAGCCACTTACCAGAATACAGAAAGAGAGGGGCCCAGCCGGGGGCAGGGCTGGTAGGCTTGGGGGGAAGAGGTGCTTCTAGCCTGTAGCTGTCCCCCCAGCCTCTGACCCAGCAAAAAGCCAGCCATAACAATGTGCCCTGAAAATGACCAGAGAACGCTTCCAGAACCCCAAGTTCAACTCCAGGGATATAGGCTGTGCTAAGAATTAGCTCTCTCTTCTCTCAACCCCCAGTCATCTCTTCTCTCAACAGGGATGATGATATCACCTGGCCTGAGGTGGGCAGGGAGCAGAGGGGACCCTAACCACAGACCCTCCTCGGGGCCATATGTGGCCTCAAATCCAGGACCAAAGGTTGGGATGTTCAATCAAGAAGCAAGAACCCTACTAAGATCTGCACCTACTTCCTTGGTTATCCATCTAAATGTCCATACCCATGGAGAAAACAGGGAGGCCATGGAAATTCTAGAGGCCCTAACCCACATGAATGACATCTGCCACCCCGGCCGGGCGCCCAGACCTGCAAGGATTGGCTGCTGCCTGTTCTGCTGTGGTTTCTCCAGATGACCTCTGTCTGTCCAGCTCCCACCACGGGGATCTGAGTGCAACCTCCGCACACCTGCAAAGCTGCTAAAGGCACGGCGGGGCTCACTGCCACCTCACCAACTGCCTGCTGCCCAGCCACGGCCTGTGAGTGTCTGAGAGAAAAGCAGCCGCTAGCACCCCAAGCACAGGACAGAGAGTGGGACTCAGGGTGCTGGCCTGTGGCCACAGGGGACAATTCCTAAACCTGCATCTTTCAGAGGCCAGAATGCCTCCCCAGCCTTCCGGGAGGGCCATGCATCTGAAAACAGGAAAAAGTAACATTCGAGGAGTCTGCACCTGTACACCAGAGCTAGTTACGAAAATATGTAAATACTCCCTTACCAATAGGTAGGTAATTGCCGCTCTGAGTACCCTCCCCGTCACCTGGCCCTTCCTGGGTACCCTCTAGACCTTCTCATAACCCAGCAATTAAGAGCTCAGTGCTCACGACAGCACAGGGCCACCAGGGACCCTGCTCCAGCCGGTGTCCATTCTGATGGGTCAGTGCAGTTGTTAAATAGTTTAAATATAATCCTTGAGAGCAGAAATAGTAACGTATTCCTCTCCTAATCCCCCCACTGTGCCCAGCGCAGTGCCCGGCACACTCGAGATCCTTGGGAAATGTCTGCAAACGAACTCACCACAGAGGCCATGCCCAAAGCCACAAGGACAGGATGAGCA